ATTATTATTATTATTATTATTATTATTATTATTATTATTATTATTATTATTATTATTATATTGTTTTAGTCAAAGGCAGATTACAAGCAATTGCTAACAAAGATACTGCACAATATGTTGATAGATAGGAGTTGGAAAACTTTTCTTTTCAGCTCTAATAATCTATGTGTGTCCCAGTATCCTTTTCATAGTGCAGAAGAAACATTTTACTTGAAGCATCTCCATCTTTTTTTTAGATTTTTTTATCCTACCTTTATTATATTTATAAATAACTCAAGGCAGAGAACATACCCAATACTCCTTCCTCCTATGATTTTCCCCACAACAACAACCCTGTGAGATGAGTTAGGCTGAGAGAGGGTGACTGGCCTAAAGTCACCCAGATGGTTTTCATGCCTAAGGCAGGACTAGAACTCACAGTCTCCTGGATTCTAGCCACTGACCACTAGAGCAATGGTCAAAAGTTGAAGTTAATTTAGTTTTCAAATTTCCATGATGTTTTTCCTGGGAAGATTATATATACACAAATATCTATCTCTCTATATATACACTTTTAAGTGTGAATCACACATATTTGCTTATTAAATCTTTTGTGACACTCTCAGACATCTCTTGAATGCACCAGTTTTGATGAGTTTTATCCCATTCTCAAAAATCTTTTCAAGAAGTTCAAAGAGGACAATTACAAATTCAGTTGACTACAATTAATATTCAGAACCACCTGCATAGATTGTATACAACAACCTGAGTGCCTAGTTAAATTATGGGATTCAGTGCCAGATGTTGTAATGGCAGCCAACCTGGATGGTTTAAAAGGGAACTAGACAGGTCCGTGGATGATCAGGCTATCATTCTCACTGAAACTGATGGCTGTTTACTATCTCCTGAATTATAGAAGCAGGTCTTAAATGATGGTGAAAGGGAACTGCCACCCTTTAGTCAAGGCTTGTGGGTTTTCCAACTGGCCACTATGTGCATTGAATGCTGGACTAGATGGACCATCATCCAACAAAGGTTTTTATATGCCCTTATGAAATCAGGTATTTGCAGCAGAAAGCCACCCCACTTCCAACTGTCTGGTTAACATGGCAGCAGCAGCAGGATGGACTGATTGACAATAGCTAGCTCTGAAAAGGACTCAGGTCAGACATTGTGCTCCAAATGCACTCTACTATTGGGTATTCTTCTGCTGTCTCATGTTTTCTCTTTAGTTCTTCATTAAAAGAGATCTATCTGCAGAGCATGGCAAATGACACAGGACAGAGTTTATCCAAAACAGCTGTCTAACATCTTATTCTGCAGAAAGATTCTTCAAAGTGAGACATTGGACCCATCCTGGACTATCTACCAACCATTTTCTATCCGTGGGATTTTGCAGAAGAGGGAAAATGGCCAGAAGAGCTTTTTAGAATAGAGTTTTTTTCAAAGCAAGGGGGTATAGTTGGCACCAGAACTACTTGTGGTGACTAGATGGCAGTGGCAGCTACTGCTTGCCAGAAAAATGAGTCAAATGATATTGAATAATCCCTCCTGAGTTATATCCATTCTATCTGATCAAATGTCATGGAAAAAAAATGAATGAATGAATAAATAGAAGCTAACACTCCAAATATGTGTTATTAAGTTCATGTGAAATAGGCTGT